ATCGAGATGCATGGATGACTCTGACTCCCGGAAGCCCTCCTTGAAGGGTGATCCAGGCTCATCTCCTCCGATGGGGGGAGCAAGGCACCATCTGGAATACTGCGAACGTGTGGAATGGATAAGCGTGAGTTCGCTCCAACATCACTGATTTGAATCGAAAGCCATCTTCTCGAACCCATCCTCATATCCGAGTTCGGGGAGCCTAAGATCCATTATTCGATATGTATGCGAGTCGCTACCTCGGGCTCGGCCGACCTCTTGAGCCTGTAGGCGGCGACCAGCGACTCATTCCTCCTGGACGAAGATATCATTTCCTAAGGACTCGAGCCCTCGCTCTTGTGCTGGATTCCATTACTGAACTTCGTCTCGGGCGGCTTCTTTCAAGAGCAAGAAGTACGAACAACGGAGCTCTTTCTCAGCTCCCAGTCCTGGGAGCGGTAGCTATAACGGTACAGTAACACCGAGACCCTCATGGACCGGTTTTCAAGGTGATAGATATCGTTCGGAAAGATTTCTCGGGAAGCGGGTCACCGATGGTAACTCGCCGTCGCCTCACGTGCACGCGCGCATTCGTTCGCGAGCGCTTGCTCAAGTAGCACCTCGATAAGGCTCGTTCCAGATCGTTCGCATCGGTTCGCGATACACAGGAACAGGTGGTTGCTGACTCGAGACTCCAGTTATAGCTTAAGGTTCGGGGCGTCGACGTCACGTACTTGAGGCTACAAGTTTGAGTATTTGCTCGGAAGACAAAGCTTCGTCATCTAGGTCAGGCAGCTTCGGGATGTATGCCTCTAACTGTAAGCCTCTGACTTACAATTAGCAAGCCATGTCCACATGGGCTCGGATAACGCGTTCTGAAGCATGAATGTTGCGAGGATTGAGTTTCCGCTCCCCTCTACGTCTGCAATCTGAAACCACTCTATCCCTGATGCCCGACTGCCGGGGAGGTGAAATACCCACTCGATCGGAGGAAATGGGACGCACTAGATTCGACAGCTCGTCATTTGACGAAGTTCGAACTCAAGTGTCTGAACTCAATACATATGTGACGAACTTGTCGTCTGCAAACCACAGCCGCCGTCCGTAGGGAATGGTGCCCATCACAGCCGCCGCATTGCCTCGCTGCGCATCCGAGAGAAGTCTCTGTTGAAGGGATGCTCCCGCTGTCTCATCAGCCGAGGCTCTGATCATGACTTTTGATATCTCCGTGATACGCTGCTTTGTTACTGGCCCAGTAGACATCGACTGTCCGCGCCTGATTCGCTGGCGCGGAAAAGCTCCTTTGCGTCCGGATATTCATCTGCGGAGAAAGAGACAATAAATGGGTAGGGATCGAGAGTTTCCCACTCCTATCGTTGCCCATAAAAACTTTCTTTGGTGGCTTCCGAATGAGTCGCTGAATGAGAGAGCTATGTTACGAACAAGTATGATTATGCCCCATCCCCGGATTCCCGAAACCCGCGGTCGCATGGTGTGCGGAATTATTCAATTTCGGAAATCCTTACTTCGCAGGTGAATAATCCGCGGGCTGATGAAATGGAAGCTCGTCACCTGCTTATCATTGGCGACCCCCTCGAAGCTCTGTCGACGAGGAACACATCGAGAAAAGCTTCGACGAAGCCTCTGCCGTCCTCATCCAAAAAGCCGATGGATTCAGGTATTCGATGAGAGTTTTGATTCCACGCCACACCTGCAGAGTCTCGCTAAGGCTTTTTTCAATCTCGAAAACCTTCCTCACATGCAGATCATTCGCATTCTGCCCCTGGCTGTCGGTGCTACCGTGCATGACGATCATGAGTGCGTGATGCAATACGTAAATTCTGCGCCAATATAAGTGAGCTCGAGTGACTCCTGATTGCCAACAGCTCTGAAGATACCGCTTGTGAGTGATTTAAGATTCCGATCTCGATACCGTTATGTATGAGGGCTGTATTTCCGAAAGTGTATGAGTCTGTGACTCCTCGAGGATCACTCACCATGACCCCCTGCATTCGCTGCAGGTATCGCCCAACGAATATGGAGAGAGCGAACGCGAGCAGCTTGAGGAGCCACCTGGAGAGAACCGGACACTAGAATAATGATGTAGTCGCTGGATGATCTGGCAGGATTGATCACTCATCATGCAATCACAGCGGATCGAAAAATTCCGCCAGAATTTCCGAAGCTTTACTCGGACTCGTGCTCTCTGATCAACCACGAGGCTGAGCACTTGTCGCTTCGGGGCGGGCCAATCTGGATCAACCGCTCGCGCTCGTGGTCACATGTTTGAAGACGCTCCCCGAACAGAATAGCTCAGCTTATGTGGGCTAAGGCCCAATCCTGATCGTTCGATCCTCAGAAGGCGATCCTCACGGAGGGCGAGCATCAGGGCATCCCGCGACATTCGGGAGGGCAGCTAGCGCCGAGGGAATCTCCCACTGGGCGCCGCTCGAGATCAGGTGACTCCTCCATCCTCGCGGAGTGAAGTCCGAGCTGATTGTAAGCCTAACTCTCTGGAAGCCTGTCCACGGAGCCTATTCCATGGATGTTAGGATATCCTGGCTGAGGATATGACTCACTCAGAAACAGGAGGAGCACCACAGCGTAATGCATCCGAGACTCCAAGTAACTCCCGGATCTAGGGGAACTCACCGAAGATGACGAACATCCCGGAGGAGCACTTCCAGGAAGCGTCTTCGGGCTTCCCGTTGGCAGTCAGAACATGGAACTTCACTTTGACTGTCCTTGCTGACGATCCCGGGCGACTCTGATCATATGGGACGATCGTACATCAGGATACACAGAAGATTTCCGGGGTTTCCAGCTACGCTCCGCGAAGCTGCTCGCCCGGCAGGCCGGATCAGCTGTCAGCTCGTGGCGCCGGCGTCGCCTCTGTTGTCTCACGTTGTCGTGTTGGCCAGACGGCGTATTAGAGAGGGCATCGGGAGGCCTCGCTGTGTCGAGGGAAGGGACCCAGAGTGTGAGCACAGTTCGAGACGTCGGCGTCGCGTCGGTCGGACGGCGCGCCGGCTGCGGCGGAGTGGGCCCCATCGTCGGTCGAAGAGGAAAGCAAAGGGTCTCGCTCAGCGTTCGGTGAGGGTAAGGGGCGGTGTCAAGGGCCTTGTCCAGCAAATGGTATCGAGGAACCGTGACGTAACGGAGAGAAAAAAGACGGTGGCTTCTCCAATGAGTGTTTACTGCGCGAATGAGCTGCCAGTTGGCAAAGAGGCAACGATTTTCTTACCCAGTATATCTACCAGTCCAGCTCACAGGAAATCTCTGTGAGCAGGGCCGAGCAAGTTTTACTTGGTGGGCGTTCGCATTTGCCGAACGGTGCTCGCAAGCTGTGAGCTAGTGGCAGGCTGTACAGAGACTATGCATTCTTATCGGAGACGAAGTTTTGGGCATTGTGGAGACGTTACCAACGTGTAATGAAAATCGAGCGCAGCAATGTCGTGAGACGAGCTCGCAGCCCGATGCAGTCAGCAGAAGCCGTGTGGAGAACATGGCTGGCGACGCCGCAGTGCCGGCGATAGGAAGAGCGAACACGGTAGCAGCTGGTTCGCTTGCTGTCTATCGAGTTCACTGCTTTTTCCTTGGTAAAACTGGTTGATCCTGCCAGTAATCATATGCTTGTCTTAAAGATTAAGCCATGCATGTATA